GAATTGTTTTTGAACGAGAAGAGAAATCACCTGGCCCTGTAAGGAGGACCACTGCACTTGTCTCGCTGACTCCTTCACATCGGCTCCTGTCACGCTCTCCCATGCAACTACCGGCTGCTGCAGAAATAGGAAAAGTAAATCTCCTCCTCCTCCTCCTCCTCCTCCTCCTCCTCCTCCTCCTCCTCCTCCTCCTCCTCCGCTTTCCCCTCGTCCCCCCCCTTCTTTCGCACTACAGGCTCCAGCTCCTGCCTCCCGCCACCTATCCGCCTGCTGTGCATACAGGAGCAATCTTCTTCTGAAATCTCACGACTCCAATCTTCTTTTCTTCGTCTTCGCCCTTCAATGCTGTCAGCATGCCGACTGACGAACCCCCATGCCTTCTTCTCCTCCTACCTTGACAAAGTTGACCGGAGGCTTCTGCTTGCCCAGCTCCCCCTCCCTGTCCTCCCTGTCCTCCCTGTCCTCCTCTTCGCAGTTCCTGGCCTCCTGATTTTTCATCCTGCTTTCCAAATTTCCTTTTGCAACTCCCGCAGGAGGGATGAAAGCTTCTTCTTTCTCTTCCCTCCTGTTTCAAGGTCACAGGGCTGGTCCAGATCAAGAGGAGAGGAGGCAGAGGACGGGGAAAGAGAAGGCGGTGACCGGACAAGGGGAGGGGGAATAGAGGAGGAGGAAAATGTTGGCGAAGGGCGGGAGGATCGCAAAGTGGAGGAGGAGGAGGAGGAGGAGGAGGAGGAGGAGGAGGAGGAGGAGGAGGAGGAGGAGGAGGAGGAAGTGGGGGTAGAGGAGGAGGAAGAGAAGGTGGTGGTGGTAGAGGAGGAGGTCGTGGAGGAGGAGGACCGAGTTGGCCTTTGTTCGTCCTCATCGATAACTGCCTTTTCCTCCTCAGCTGCTTGTGAAGTTACAATCTGAGAAGTCGAGAGATGGACCAAAGGAGGAGAAAACAAGAAATTGCTACGGCAGAGAAGACAAAAAGGAGCGAAGGAGAAAGTCGGGGAAGAGGAGCGGCCAAGAGGAATAACCAAGAGGACGGAAGAAGAGGGACAGGAAAACGAAGAGCAGAGAGAGAGAAACAATGAAGGGATAGTGGGGAACACGGAGGAAAAGAGAAGGGAAGAGTCTTGGGAAAGAAAAATAGGATAGTGGGAGGAGGGGACATGACTCTGATAAGTGGAGGAGGAGGAGAAGAGAAAGGAGGAGATGCGAAGAGAAGGGGGAGGTCGATGGAACCTTGCCGGATGACTTCATCAAACGCAGAGCGAACGGCTCCTGTGTTGGGCGGTTCGGGTCGATACTCCTCGTGATACTGCGGGGAACTGAACCAGACAAGCGCGTCAACGAGCATGCAATGACTCATCAAGAGAAGGAGGAGGAGGAGAGGGAAGAGGCCGGAAAGGGATGGAGGAGGAGGGAGGGAATGAAGAGGAGGAGGAAGGGGAGGAGGAGGAGGAAGTGAAGCACAGGGAGGATTGGGGGTAAAATGGGCTGGAGGAGGGAGGAACAGGGAGGAGGGCAAGGGAGGGCGGGGAAAGCCTTACTCATCCGTCGTCGTTTGAAAGAGATTGCTGACATTGGGCCAGAAGGATGAGGCAGCTGGAGCAGGAGGAGCAGCAGCGGGAGCAGAAGATTCATCTCCTCCTCCTCCTCCTCCTCCTCGATGTTCTGGCGTCGTTTTGAGGATGCCGAAGAAGTCCACAGTTTGAATCCCTTGAATCAGGTTCGAGAACAGACTCTCGTCTGCTCAACTTCATCACACCCATTCTCTTGTTCTCTCGCTCTCTCGCTCCTCCTCCCCTCCTCTCCCTCGTTTCCTCCGCTCCCTCCCTCCCTCCCTCCCTCCCTCCCTCCCTCCCTCCCTCCCTCTCCTGCGTCTTCTCCGTCCTCTCCTCCCATCCTCTACCCTCTCACCGTTCTTAGCTGGCTCCTCGACCTCCTCCTGCTGCTGTTGCTCTACAAAATCGGGCACCTCCACGTCTGCCAACCGCCGCACGGGAGTCTTCCGCTCTGCCTCCTCGTCAGCCCGAGCAAGCGCACACGAGCCGCACCATGAGCAGGAAGGGAGAAGCGGGACGACCCCTCCTGCTTCCTTTCTCCTTGAAAATGCTCCCTCCTCTGCTGCTCCAATTCCTCGTCTGTCTTCTTCGTCCAGCCCGCTCCTCCTTGTGCCAAGGCAGCCTGCGGGACGAGGACAAAGGTTGGGGAATGAAAAAATGAAGAGGAGGAGAAGAGAGGAGGACGTATCACGCACGAGCCGCAGGATTCAAGAAACTCGCCTGCTCCTGCAGCAGCATGTAGTTGCTGTACATTCCTCCTAGCCCAGCGTTCGCCTCACCTTGCCCGGAGTTCTCGATGTACTGCCAATACCAACACACTCATTGCGACATTGCCTCGTCCTCTTCCTCCCTCCTCATCCTCCTTCATTATCGTCCGTTCCTCCTTCACCATCGCTAACCTGCATGCATGTCGCCGCGTCTGGACGCTCTGCCGGCTCGGCGAGGAGCATGGAGGCGACAAGCTTGCGGAGGGAGAGCGAGAACTTGGCGGGGAGATCCTTTGGCTGCAGTGGATTCCGTTGAACCTGCCAAGAGCGATACCGGCTGTCTTAGACTGATTTCCTTCTTGTCCCTCACCAAGTACACTGCCATCATCCCAGCCCCCCCAATTCTCCCGTCCTTCTCATCCTCCTCCTCCTCTCTCACCACCACATCCTCCTTCCAATCCAACCTTCCCCTCCCCCTCTTCCCGGATCATCATCAACCACCTGCATGGCGAGCATGCCTTGCCGCTCAAACAGGAACTGCAACGTCATCATCTCCACCGCCAGGCATCCAACGCCCCAGATGTCAACGGAGGGCCCGTATCCCTCATACTGCAGTACCTGCCGCTGACTCATTCCAATCCTCCTTCTCCTTCTCCTTCCCCCCCATCTCCTTCTTTCCTCTAGTCCCCTCCCTTCGCCCCCGCCCTGTGTCTCCCCAAGTCTCCCCCTTCTACTCTCATCCCATCCCTCGCCTCCCCCCTCTCCCCTCGTCCCCCTCCCCTTCCCCCTCCCGCTCTCCCCTCGTTACTTCAGGGGCGATGTAAGACGGTGTACCAACACGCGATCGCACCTATGACGAAAGCAAGAAAACTTCAGAGCAAACAATTATCGCCACAAGCTCGTCAAGACATTCAACGTTCACTTGCCAGGTGCAGGAGGAGGATCGGGTGAGGAAGGTGAGGGGACAAGCAAGACATGACAAGGGACATGGAGGGCGGCAGACGAACGGAGGAGGAGGAGGTGGTGGTGGTGGTTGAAGAGGAGGAGGAGGAGGAGGTGGTGGTGGTGGTTGTGGTGGAGGAGGATTACTTTCCCGCTCGCAAGAGAGGTCGCCAGCCCGAAGTCTCCGATCTTGAGATGTCCCTGTAGCCGTACCGTCATGGCCCGAGCCCCGAGATCTCCTGGCTCACTTGAGAGCTCATGAACACGTTGTGGGGCTTCAGATCTCGATGGATCACCAGCTGAGAATGCAGCTGCAAAGTTTGTGTCATCTCCTCCTCACGCCTGCTCTCCTCTCTCCTCTCTCCTCTCTCTTTCCCCTCCGCTCTCCTCCCTCCCTCCCGCCCTCCTACCTTCTCAAGCGCTCCAAGCAGCTGAGCCACCCACGTGACGATAACGCCCTGTGGCAGACCCTCCCGCTGTCGCTCCCGCACCAGCGTGAGATGCTGAGCAAGGTCGCCCCTCGAGCAGTACTCCATCACCTAGCTCCAGTCACGCCCCACAGATGCTTCCAGCAGACATCCAGGAGGTAGCAGCGCAGCCGTACCGTACACACGGAGACAACTCCGTTGGACTCGTCCTGAGGGAAAACGTCGAGGTACTCCACCACGTTTGCGTGCTTGATCTCCTTGAGGACCTTCGCCTCCTGCCATCAACAGCGTTGAGCACGAGCATGAGCGCAGCGGGACTGAACGACCTTGAGGGCGTCCTTGGCATCTCCTTGAGAGAAGCAGAGCACACTCTTCAAGACGAAGAGGTTCCTGTCATTCTCAACATGTCGTACAAGGAACACTTGGCCCATCCCTCCCTCTCCGATCTTCTTCAGGATCTGTTGTAGCAGCTCAACACAACACACGCCGCCCCATCTTGATTCACCTTATAGTCTCCAGCCTGCGAGCCGATGGACAGCCGACCTGACATAGCCGCCATCGAGGAGGTTCCTTGTCACTTTAAAAGCTCTTGGGATTTCCACTTCAGCCAAGGACGGAAGGACGCTTCCTTGATTCCCTGGGCCAAGGAGATCGCTTGTCCTTGCTTCTTCGCTTGCCTTCTCACCTTACCTAGAGGGCTATCCCCTTGATACGTCCCATCTCTTAGCAAGCATCGCCTCCTCGAACTGCTCGGCCTTGACCTGCTGCGGGCCTTTTTGTCCTTAGTTGGTCTCCTATCGATCTTCTTCCTCGCCACTGTTCGACCTTCACATCATTCTCCTCAACTTTCTTGGTCTCTTCCAAGTCCTCTCGCAGTTTCTCTTCTCTGCCCTCCGTTTCCTCTTGTGCGCCTCCTACCTCGCCTTCTCCGACGCTCCCTCCAGCATAGACCCGAAAAGAGAAACTCCATCAGATCATTTAAAATTATCAAAATTGGGATAGCTGACTGGGTTTCATTGATTGTCTTCCGAACTACTAGCAAAGGACAAGCATGTAGAGTAAGCTTGCTTCAAGAGAGAGGATTCGAAAGATTTTAGTGCTTGAAGAGATCGGACTCAGTGAGGAGTCCGGGCTGAGAGGCTCTCGGAGTCCGCCGCCGGAGCAGCTGACCGGGCCCGGGCCCGATTCGAGGTCCACCCTGTAGGGCGGTAGCAACGAGAGATGCAACGGAAGAGGAGAGGTCATGTACAGAAAGTGTCGCATAGATAAGCAGTGATGGCAGGACTACGACAGGCTGGAGCAGGAGGTAGAGGTGACTCAATCTCTAGCCGCTAACTAAAGATACCAACTATAGAACCAATCTCCCTCCAACCTTGATGGTCTGAATGATCTCAGTACTGCATTATGACTCCTGAGTACTCAGAAGCCTCGTCTCGTCAGTCCAGCCATTATCTTGATGGAAGGTATGTCGTTGAGACGAGATTCCAAGCTGCGTTTGCTGACATGAGTCCTGGTAGGCAACGATCGCAGGCAAAATTTCTCAGGTCAGAAGTACAAGGAGTTCATCAGGTTTGGGTTAAAGTTGATTTTATCGGAATGATGATGCCTCGATCTTCACAGATCAAACTTCTCTGCTGAGACTGAGATGATTGGTAGAAGCTCAAGCTCAGCGCCAAGCACTCCCGAGAAAGAAAAGGCAGCCGCTTGACTTGGCCGTATGGTTGTTTGCAGTGGCACTGATCAGCCTTTCAGGGGGACGAGCACAAATCAAAGATGCAGACAATGAGTCCTGGCATGAATGATTTGAGAGAAAAGATACACAAAGAGCGGTAGCACGAAAGCTCTCTCATGCGCTTCCTGACATCTTTCAACTTGATTTTGATCTGATCTTGTTCCAACCACCCCCATGAAGCCGTCAGCTCCTTCTTCTGGAGCAGAAGCTGAACAAAGGTCAAAATACAGCCAAGGTGCTCTATGTGCTCAGCGACGATGAGACTCTGACATGTTTGACTAGCGAGAGGTGAGTGGAGATGATGAAGCTGCCTCCACGAAAGCAGACGGGGATTTCGATCGTTCGTATTCCGGATCATCTGATGACAAGGATCTGTGAGCATCAACCTTGTTCATCAGAGCTCTCGAACTTGACAGGCGCTCCCTGCAGCAGAGCAGCTGATTTGCCGCAATCGATGCAGAGCGCGCCCTCGAAAGCTGACATTCTTCTTCTTGCACAAGAGCAAAGCAGGATACGAAACACGTTGATGAAACTTACAGAAGTCATCAGCAAGGTATTTAAGCATGGAGCTTTTAGCTTCCTGCTTGACATGATTTCTAGATTGAGAGTAGACAAGAATCAGACAAGAAGCTGGCAAAGAATGCAATGGACGCTGTCAAGACTCTTGAAAGTGACATCCAATCAGAACTCAAAAATCGCATGAAATCCAATGACAAAATAAGCATGTATGGTTTGAAGACATGATATCCTACAAAAGCTTGACAACGATGCCTCCTGTATGTCTGAACATGCTCACCAGGTACGATAAAAAGATTCATGAGATGCAAGATGCAATCGCACTCTTGAATGCTAGGAAACACTCTGAAGAGGCAGCCGTGGACAAGATCTCGTAAGAACGCCTCCTGCTTGAAATGCGATTGTGACGCTGTTGCAGAAATGAGGTTGCAGAGCTGAAAGACATGATCAAGTCTTTTCCTCTCGTTCACAATGAGAAGAAGAGGTACTTGATTGCGGTGCAGTTTGCGATTTGACAGCATGCCAATTTCTCCAGCAGCGAAGTACCAGTTAGTCAGGTTCCTGCACACCCGACGTCAACCAAGTCAAGCAAGCTCCTGCTCCTGACTGTTCTCACTCCTCTCGCTGTATTCGCCGTCTACCGGTACCGGAGTCTCCTTCATCAACCATCCTGAGGTGCTGGGCATCAGTGCTCCAGCCACAAGCCCTGGTGCATGGCCAAGACAGTGTCGTGTCAAGACAAAATGCTGTTTCTTATATACATGCAGATCTACTAACGGAAGGGCGGGAAGAGTACTTATTAACATATCGCGATGTAGTGTCTTCGAGGTGTGCTGTTTGCAGACAGCTGCGACTCGACACTCTCACTCCTCTCCAGCGTGCCGGGCTTGATAGAGCAGTAGGCGATAAACTTGTTGTACGGCACCTCCACCTCTGCCACCGCCTTGGCCTCCTCCGCCATCGCATCAGCTCGTCGGTGCAGCTCCTCCGCATACCAGTCGTACTCGCTCCTCTTCACGTAGAGCGTGAAGCTCAGCCGGTACAGAAACTCCAGCTCCAGCTGGTTGATCTCCCGCAGTGAGATGCCTCCGATGGCTGCCCAGCGCTTGTTGGAGACATAGTAGTCGTCGAGAAACTTGGATGCCGTCATCACCGCCAGCAGAAACAAGCGCTGGTAGTTGTCCAGGGTCAGGTACACCTGCGGATCCCGCTGCTTCAGTCGCTCCAGGTAGATCGCTCCTATCACCAGACAGCAAGGGCTCGCCCCGCTGTACCTCATGATCCTGTCTACGTAGGCTGCAGGCGTGATGAGCGGGCGAGGACCGCAGAAGGTGGGAAGCGACGCGCACTTGAAGTAGGCCTCAGTCGCGTTCACGGTCTCCTCCAGCATCGCCGCCATCACGGCCACGATTCTCTCTTGGGCGAGGGCATCCCTGAGCATGAGGTCCTTGAGGTCGTGGTGAAGCGTGTGGGTGCCATCGAAGTCCTGAGCGGCATCTGCAGGCGGCGGTCTGGCGGGCTCGTGGGGCTGGGGGCATTGAGCAGCGAGGTCTCTGGCCGAGGCTCTGGAGATGTTGGACTGGCACATGATGGGTCGGGTCACTGTCATGTTGGAGAGACAGGGATGATGCAGATACAAGTAGGAGGAGGAGGGCATATGGAAGATAAGGGCTGCTTGCTCGTGAGCTACTACTAGGCGAGTGCTTGCACGACGCACCAGGGGCGGGATTTCCATGTATATATCACAAAAGTTCGGTATCCGAATCTCCGATAAAGATCCCGCGAGAGGCATTACATGCAGCCAAGAAATGAAATAAGTAGAGTCAACCTGAAATTATGCGCAGAGAATTTAGGAAAACTTCTCCAAATATTTGTGTAGTTAGTGGTCGACGGAAATCTGCCGAGGCCTCCGGGTCACACTTCGGTATCTCAACCAAGTCCGATGCCTCACCGGAGTTGCGAGCGGATCCACAGGGCCGTAACTCCAATAACTCCTTGATACCAGTCACGTTACCTGTTGACAGTCACTACAGTAGTAAAAAAGTTGCAGAGTCTTGACACGTGACTACTGTCCTCTACTCTCCTCTAATTGTCCTCTCACTGATTTGTAACTTAACTTTGAGTAAACGTGTATGCGTTTCGGCACAGTGTGTGTGTGTTTCAAATCTGCAGCCCCGGGGGCGCCGGGCAGTGAGCCTGTAAGGCCTGCAAGTGTCTTCTTCGGAGGCTCATGGCCCTTCTCTCTCTCTCTCTCTCTCTCTCCGAGTCTGTGACTTTCAATTCCTGCTCTCGGCTCTCACCATCCCCGGGCTTCCTCTCGTAGCAACGCACAACGGAGCAACTCAGTGGTGCCCCTCATCCCACGAGTCATCCCGAGTCCCTCCCGCGGACGGCCGGGCCCACCGGGGCTGGCCCGGCGGGGCCCTGTCGTCTCTGAATAGCATACCAACCGTTGAAGACTCTGCTGATCGGATAGGCTCTACTCGCCGTTTGGCCTGTGCGACAGTGTCAGGGTCAAGGCCCGCAGTCCTCGACTCTCCTGTCGGATTGTCCTCGTACTGATTTTCAACTTAACTTTGAGTAAAGAAAGCTCTACCGTACATGGCAACTGACAATCATATGCCGGGGTACTGTCTGCATGCCATGTCGAAAAGTCTGACAAGTGTGGGACTTGACAGCACAAAGACAACCAAACAAAACAAAATACATCGCGCATACCAGGCTCAGACACATAGACAGTGTCGTGTTAAGACAAAATGCTGTTTCTTATATACATGCAGATCTACTAAAGCGGGAGGGCGGGAAGAGTACTTATTAACATATCGCGATGTAGAGTCTTCGAGGTGTGCTGTTTGCAGACAGCTGCGACTCGACACTCTCACTCCTCTCCAGCGTGCCGGGCTTGATAGAGCAGTAGGCGATAAACTTGTTGTACGGCACCTCCACCTCTGCCACCGCCTTGGCCTCCTCCGCCATCGCATCAGCTCGTCGGTGCAGCTCCTCCGCATACCAGTCGTACTCGCTCCTCTTCACGTAGAGCGTGAAGCTCAGCCGGTACAGAAACTCCAGCTCCAGCTGGTTGATCTCCCGCAGTGAGATGCCTCCGATGGCTGCCCAGCGCTTGTTGGAGACATAGTAGTCGTCGAGAAACTTGGATGCCGTCATCACCGCCAGCAGAAATAAGCGCTGGTAGTTGTCCAGGGTCAGGTACACCTGCGGATCCCGCTGCTTCAGTCGCTCCAGGTAGATCGCTCCTATCACCAGACAGCAAGGGCTCGCCCCGCTGTACCTCATGATCCTGTCTACGTAGGCTGCAGGCGTGATGAGCGGGCGAGGACCGCAGAAGGTGGGAAGCGACGCGCACTTGGAGAAGGCCTCGCTCGCGCTCACGGTCTCCTCCAGCATCGCCGCCATCACGGCCACGATTCTCTCTTGGGCGAGGGCATCCCTGAGCATGAGGTCCTTGAGGTCGTGGTGAAGCGTGTGGGTGCCATCGAAGTCCTGAGCGGCATCTGCAGGCGGCGGTCTGGCGGGCTCGTGGGGCTGGGGGCATTGAGCAGCGAGGTCTCTGGCCGAGGCTCTGGAGATGTTGGACTGGCACATGATGGGTGGAGTGCTGAGGGAGTGGGAGGTAGGACAGTGGGGTCAGGAGGAGATGTTTTTATCAGCCCTGTGCGGAGGTTCGGACTCCGAATCCCCGAAGTTCAAAGTGGGGTCATCATCATGTTTGGTTTCAAAATTATTTTGAATAATGCAACTCAAATTTCAATATCCAAAAAAGTATGTCATTCATTAGATCAATATCCGGATAAATCTTTAACTCTTCGAAAATCTCGGGGCCCGGGGTTCCCGTTGTAGTAAAAATAACTTGCTTGCTGACAGAATAATGATTTATTATCACGAAAAATATTATTATACAATAGCATCTTTACCGCTGAGATTGTAGGATTAAAATCAAGGTCTGGTAAAAGTCTCGCCTCGGTCGGAACTTCGGAACGGCCCGAGAGTGATGATTCCGCGTCCACGTGCCGCAAGGCGGAACGTTTCCCTCATTATGTGTCCTCGTACTGATTTTTAACTTAACTTTGAGTAAGTTAAAAATCAGTACGAGGACAATCAGGGAGTTGCCGCGTGGGTCTTTGAACTTCCGCACCGGGCCGGGGAGTCTCGGCGTACACCTCCTTGGCGGAGCTTCATTACAGTCCCTCATGGAGTCACAAGTTTCCTCGGTTCTGCAGTATTCGAGCTAACCTTTCTGAGCGTCAGCGATCTTTGTTGGCACACCCCCTCCAGCTTCTCTACCCCACTTCGAGTACCAGAGCACCCGCCGCCGTCACCAGTGATGAACTTCTGTCTCAGTTTACCCCTCAGCGCAGGATCTGGCACTCGATTATGGAAAGTAGTAACCTAGGGATCTTTGAGCAGCAGCCCATCAGCTTGGTGGCTGCCGCTGACAAGTTTCTTCATGGGTTGCCGGTTGACCTCCCGCCGCACTGCGATAAATGCCACCATCTTCTCCATCATCCTGGGGGGACCACACACATGGTAACCTGCGGGCACCGCAGCCCGTTATGGACTGATGCGCATGAGAAGTGCAATGCCGTCCTCAGTACCCTCATCAAAGATTCAGGAGTGAGATGCCGCGTCCACGTGCAAGGCGTTCCCGGCACCAGGCAGAACGTTTCCCAGCATGGCCCTGAAGATCATCACGTAGGGGACTTCGAACTTCCGCAACTGCAGGCTACTGGAGGCCGATGGCATGGGTTAATCCTGGACTTCAGCATGTCACATGTTTTTGACAATGATGGAATACCGGACCTGGCTCGGAGCAAACTGCAAGCAGCAGCACAGAGGAAGATCCTAGGGCATCGTAATGCATATGCTCAGCACGTCCCGCCAAAGGCCTTTCTTCCCAGAATTGCCAGCAGAGGAGAGCGCGGGGGTGGTGCTAGACTCCTTTGTACAAGTTATAGAGTTTCGAGAAACAGATAAACAACTTGGGAACTTGATCCTCCTTTTTCTTCAGCTTGCTCCTCCTGTTTCTTTTCCTTCCTTTCTCCTCCTGATTCTGATGCTGCACCTCCTCCTCCTCCTCGACGACGACGACGACCCTCCTCCTCCTCCTCCTCCTCCTCCTCCTCATCATCATCATCATCCACCTCCTCCAACTCCTTTCCCTCCCCTCCCCCGTCCCCCTCCTCCTTTCCCCCCCCTTCCCCCCCCACCACAATTTTCTACTTCCCTCCTCCTCCTCCTCCTCCTCCTCCTCCTCCTCCTTCTCCTTCTCCTCCTCCTTCTCCTCCTCTTTCTCC